GGGGTTTTTTTTTTTTTTTTTAAACAAACCTTTTTTTAATGCTGACAAACACCAAATCACCCAAATAGAACATGTCCACAAAGCAACAGCCAGCTTCAACACATCACCTCACTTGAACACCACTTGAGGGAGGGGAATCTTCATAATTAAAAAAAAAATAAAAAATTAAATGGGACATTTTTGGCAAAGGAAAAAAATTGCTTATTTCTCAAACCCCCAACATTTTTTGTTTGCTTGATTGATTTCAAAATCTTAGTATTCAGACTAGTTATCCTCAGTCAGGGGGCCCATGCAACCCTGGGGTCCCTTAAGATCCCTTCAAGGGTGTTGTGGGGTGCCATGTAAAGTTAGCACTGTTAGGTGTGCAAATCAGAGATTTCAAATAGAAAGCCATAGTGGCAAAACTATGTCTGACCTGTTGTGGGCTTTCTGAGTTCTTTGCAATGAAAGGAAAATTCTGGGTTTTTTTTTTCCTGTAGTCAAACAATGAATGAAAAGGAAGAGCTGGCATTTTCTGATGGAGGCCTTGAGTTTAAAAAGATTGAGGACCACTGATTAAGACTAAAGGGGAGAAAAGAAAGGATACATGCAGGGAAAGGTCAAAAGTAAAAATGTTTGCACTGATTTGAATAAAAATAATATTCACTCTGTGTTGGTCAGGTTCTGGCATTTTTGCAAGAACTGAAGTTCTCTTCCCAGTTTGGGACAGGAGAACTTTTGGAAAACAAAAAATCTTGCAGCACAGGAAACCCATTTCCTGACAGGCCAAGATGCAAACTCCTCACCTAATGACAGTGTCATTGCTTGTGTGGACATGGCTTCTCAGGTTGGCCATGGCAGCCCTGGGCCTGTCACAAGAGCAGAACCATGAAAGTCTCCACTCCTGTTGCACTGCTCACACAACACACTGCACGCACATGCATGCATGCACACGGTCCTGTGTAGAAGAGGCACTGCCCACTGACTCCATGATTCGTAAGTATGCCGACAAGCCTGGTGGACAGGCAGGAAGCTGGGAAACAACCTGTCCTTCAACTCTCAATTGGATGACAAGGTTTGGTTTGGTGCTCACAGCCATTTCCCTGCACACTTCAGCAGGAAAGCAGCAGCAAAGGGAAACTAGGGGACACTGGGGTTTTTAAGGGCAAGATCCTCTGCTGGTACAAACTGGTGTCAAAGGTCAAGGTTTCCTTGGACCCAGTGGCCCATTGCTCCCCGCCACTGGCCTGCAGCTGGGGGGAGGGAGGGGCAAGGAGTACGGACAGGCAAGGTAGCCAGCATCCTATCCAGCTGTTTTGATTCCCTAGCCTGAAGGGCCAGGCTCCCATTTACAACTGGTCACATGGAGGCAGCCTTGGCCATGAGTGCAGAGCAGAGCTGAAACTCACTCCTCTGGCTGGGTAGGGAGACAGTGTGACCACTCGGCCACTGCACCCCTATTGACTGGAAAGGTGCCATATCACTGAAAGGAGTAAAACTTATGCAGGAGGAGAATTGAGGCCTAAGGTGCTATTGGCAACAAAGGCAGAGAATTTATTATTGTACTCTATGAGGCATGCACAAAGCCCAGTTTTATATGCTGGGGTCTAAGTCTCACATAAATCTATAGGACATGCTTATGCTGCTTTAAATGCGTCTATATCAGAACCTAGATGCATTGATAGCGGTCCACTGAAGACACCCAATGTTTTCCTTACTTATCCTGGTGGTATGCCGCTGGCTCCAGTAGGAAATCCAGTTTACATAGGAGTAAACTAGAAATCAATCAAGCCCAGTTATGCAGGTGTCAATCAGGAACACCAGCAAACCCTTCTGGCCTCCCACCAGAACCATTAGCTCCAAGCTTTCTAGAAGCTGGGAGTCAGCCATCCTCTCCCCCCACAACCCTAAAAGCCATCATGATTGGCTATAAAAAGGGCAGCTTTCCAGAGTCAGGATTGCAAGGTTCTTTCTGCTACCAGGAGGGCTAGCAGCTTTTTTTTTTGCCTTTTTTTCTATTTTTTTTTTTTTTAAATGAAAGCCAAGCTCAAGCTTCCCTCACAATCACTCAACTCCCAAAACCATGGCTTTCAGGTGAGTAACTTCCTGCACCCCCCCCCCCAGAGAGTTTCCATAAAATCATAAAAGTTGGCATCACTGGATTTTGGTTACCCTCACCCAGCTATAAATCAGGAGGGGGCTCCATGGAAGGACAATGGTATCATGCTAGTGGAAGTTACAGTACTGGAGATGGGCATCTTTCTAGCAGGGACACTGGCTTCTGTGGTTCCCCTGCTTCACTTGTGGCAGGTTAGGGTATTATGTCTAATGTTTGGCAAGAGTTGACAGTAGTTTTATGAAGAGTGTAGATTATGGATTGTATAGGACAGTTTGGATAGGAATGACCCTGCCTCAGGCACGGGGTTGAACTAGATGACCTCTGGAGGCCCCTTCCAGCACTACTTTTCTGATTTCTATGACCTTCTTATTGTGCAGTGTTTGTGCAGTACCTGGTGCCAGTGGGTCCCAGTCCAAGAGGGGGCACCTAGGGAGCTATATAAGAAGAATAGGTGTGAGAGGAAAATGTGAGCCCTCATGGTCTACTCACATTCCCACTGAAGACAGGATGGAAGACCCTAGGTGTCAGGCACACCACTGTAAAATCCACCCCCTCCAAGAGTACAAGACAAGGGTTTATAGAGAGGTCTCAGCTGGGCCAAGGTTGGTCCCAGCCCAACCTTTGTTGATCTCTGCTCAGCGCTCATCCTTCCCAGTGTCTAGGATCCCTTGGTGCTCAATAATAATCCATCAATCAAACAAGATGTCTCCATATGGAAAGGACAGTGAAGGAGGGAGCAGACAGGAGAGGGGGAGAACGGTGTGAATATTTTACTAGCTGGTGAATAAAAGATGTGCTGTGGGTGGGGAGGCATGAGGGTCTCGGACGCAGCCCTGGGCAAGATGCCTGCCTGCCTGCTGAACTGATTGCTAACTATGTGATGGGCCCCAGGGATGAGGTTAGGTAGAGGTCACCTGATCCCAGGGCAGCCTAGTAATGGCAGCTGGAAGTCATCCCTGGAGTCATGCCAGCTGCTTCTGGCTTTCTGCTGCAACTGGCAGTCTTGGTTGAGGCTAGGGTAACCCATCAGACACAAAGCACCTACAGTGTGTACACACAGCCACATATACATGCCACAGTACATGTGAAACACACTCAGGTCTGCACACCTATAACATGTGGCAGTCAGGCATGAGCACACATCTATGTACAGATTCACATAGCTGTGACAGGCAACACCTACATGCACAGATTCACATGCCATGTAAATGCAATTAAGTACACAGGCACACATGATTAGTAGATATCAGTCACACAAAAAAATTCTAGCCCAGGGTAACCAACTTGAGGCATGCATGCATGCCACAAGTGGCATGGGAAGTTTCTTGGTGTGGCACATGGCAGATCAGGGAGGGGATAGGCAGCACGGTGACAGATAGGGAAGGGAACAGAAAGCAGAGCAGCAGGTTAGGCAGGGGGCACAGGGAAGGGAGAGATGATCAGGGTGACACTTGTGGAAGGCATCAGGCTT